GTGAGGTCTCGCATCTGGAAGTTTTCATTGATGAAGTGTGCTGTTACTGCCATGAAGGCAGTAACATTAGGGGCTGTCCAGGCATCTTGAGTGAAGGATATCGAGATCTGTTTTTTGATATAATTATTTCTGATCGTTTTTTCAGATTGATCGTACATACGAGTCACATGTGTGGCGATTGACTTTTGGTTGGTGGTATTTATTAAAGCCACTGCGTCTTGGTTGAGGAGGCGGACAAGATCCCGAAATGATTTCCTTTCCACAAAAGCGAAGGGCAGATCGGAGTCGGCAATCATATAAACAAGCGCCGACCTGAGTGTTTCGCTGTTTAATTCAACCTGGATGAAACAGGCCAAGTGAAGAGAATAAAAAATTGCCATTTATCAATAGACGGTCCTTCTCAAAGCATTTAAATAAAGAATAAATACTTTACCTGGGGCTGCATAGTGCCGCTTTTGCTCCACTTGCTAATATCCATGTGTTTTGTCTTAGTTTTCTTGGTGAGACTCGGATCGGATAGTCGATGGAAGGTTTCGAGATGTGTTTGGAATGATTTGGTACTTGCACTCTTGTCTTTCTTGATCGACCTGCCACAGATTCCGCCCGACTTTGTGATGACTTGACAAATTGCTTCATTTGTTCCTGGTTTTTCCTTGAAGTGGTTCCAGACCCAGCTCCGCTTATTTGATGCTCCAGAAAGTGGTTGACTACTATTAACTTCAATCTCGTCGACATCGATAACCTCGTGGTCCGGAGTCTTCTCCCGCTGTTTACGCTTCATCCTGAGGTAGTGCAAGAGATCTGGAAAGTCGGAGTGGATTCAGATCCTCTAGGAGACGCTGCAACATAAAAAAAATGGAAAATAGTGATTGAAACCCCGGGGTTACGGGGTTTGAACCCTGAACCCCGGGGTTCGTCTCTCGGGATGGGCTTCAAACCCCGTCCTGAACCCCGGGACCATGCCTTAGACAAGAGGGGAGGGACCTCACAAGCCCGAGGATGACATCGAAATGTTCTCCTGGACAAGCCCTTTCTGATTTTGGGTGACTTTGCACTTCAAAATCCCCAGGTGGAGGCAGGAGACTAGATCAAAAAATTGGTGTCTTTTTTCCAATCCTGTTAGGCGCTGACACCCACGTAGCGCATAAGTCCCTCCTGCGGAGGGTCCCTGCGGGACGGCGTCCCCCCTCCCATAGAGGGACTTAGTTAAGTTAGCCAGTTACACCAGCGAGCCTCCCACCAGGGGGACTTGTGTTAAGTTCGTCAGGGGACGGACTGTCGGGTTCACTTGGCTTGTGTCCGACAGGCGCAGTTGTCCGCAATCCTGACCAATACAGGAATTAATCGCCAACCTGAATAACGCGTCCATCGATGGGCCCCGACTCCAATTTATTTGCTCAAAACAACTTGTGAGAATTGCCTCTTAGAATTCCTTGAAAGTGAAAACTCAGCTACAGGCCCCACAGTAACCCTTTCAGTTTTCATCTGTTTTTTCCGTGCACAATGTCGCAAAGTGACAGAGATTTGATGACAGTTTGTTGATGATGAGCGTACAAAACGCGAGTTGACCTCACCTTCTATTCAACATTGAAGATGGAGAGCAAGAGTGGCTTAACAGGATGGGTCTATGTCTTCAAACTAGCAGATACTCGCGCGAAACGGAACACATAATTGATCTTAGCCATCCCAATCAGAATCATCACTCATGCCCCTCTCAGACAGATTTCTTGCTGATGATCTAGATTTGCAGAATCGCTGTGGAACCAACAATGTCCTCGTGTCCATCTACCTCTCTGAAATCTTGCCCCTATCAATATGTGGCTCGCAAGGCATCATCAATCAAACGGCCATCTTGCTTTGTTTGAACAGTCAGTCTGGCCATCTCAAAACCTCCCACCGGGCGTTGTGTCTTCATCATCCGCTCGGCATTCCCAAGGCTCCAACTTCTCTCCGTCCCATCTCTCACCGAAAATAACAAATCGTTCGTCTCCGGTGCCGTCACGCGCCGGAACACTGGTCTCATCTTTGCCCAATGGCGAGGCGGACGGAAATGCGTTTTCCATCTCCACCATCCTCGGAGGTCTAATACTATCTATGGACTTTTCTCAACTATCCAATTGATCATCTTCAGTAGTTCTACGTGTTCAAATCATCTATACAATCCATTCACAGTAAGTGTAGGTTCTCATGCTAAATGGATGCTCGTTAGCTTCATGATAAATACTAGCCTTTTGGGCCTCCGGTCCACCAAAGCGACGGTTATAACTCTTCCGTGTTTTTCAAGGTCTGTCATTTCTATGAATGCGATGATTTGTATGCGCTATCGTTTTCAAACTTCTTTCGTTCATGATGACCTCAGTCTTGAAACGCCCGCATCTCCTTATCACCGGAGTTTGAACTAGTCGAAAGGAATGACATCCTCCTTCCACTGGAAAAAAACATCTTCAGGTACATTAATGACGCCTTGGTAGCTTTCTCTCTGTCATTCGAGATTTCCAAATTAAGTTGGGTTGCAACTTGCATGACAACTTTTCAGGGAATTGTTACTATCTGGTAGTTATAGCTACAGGCCTCAAGGAATTCCAAACATTTTTTTGTACAGGATTGCTGCAACTAGCTTAACGGAAACTAAGACAAGAAATCAAGGTGAAATGTTGGGAAATTGGGGTGGGTGTCTACGTGCGTATCGGATCAGGCAAATCAGGGGTGTCGTTTTGTTTACTTCTCCTTAACAAAGGTTGGGGGCTTGCAATTGTCATCAGTGAGCCTTTTCATGTTATTGGCCTAAGTTTCATGCAAGCCAGATTAGTTCATTTGAGCGCGTATCTTGGCTGGCAGCCGAGAAAGTTCCTGGCGCACTCACCCCTAACATCAAGTTGTAGTTAAATTCCCGACAACAATGGGGGGCGGACACACCGCAGTTGGAAGTGCGAGGTCCGACCTTCACGGCGGTGTCCACTGTGACAACAGATTGCAGAGTATAGTGAATTGCGGGTTAGATAGCTGGGTT